CTTAACAAACCCCATCAAAAGATCTCCCCACGTCTGTTTCCCCGCCACCACATCTCCCACGCCCCTAACCACCCTCTCAACCATTTCATTCCCACCACCAAACTCCTTCGCAATATCTCTCTCTCTTTCGCGACTGCCACTCCCATCTCTACTCCGACTCAACGGTCTCCCATCTCTATCAAACCTCGCTGGCAACACCTCCACATCATCATCCTCACTCTTTTCACTATCACTCTCATCACCATGTCTTCCTTTCCTATGTTTACGGTGTTTACGAGGTCTGGAAGGGCGATCAGAAGAAGGATCCGAGTTACGTCTTCGTCTTCTTCTGTAGCGACGATCCGAAGATGGATTTGGTTGTTCATATGTATTTACCGTGGAAGTTGATTGATCCGCTTTAGAACTACGTATACGTTCTAAGCGACGAGAAGAAGTGGGAGATAGAGGAGCGAACATGACAGATTTGTTTGAGGGAGTAGCTTCGATTGGTGTTAAGGGTGAATCGGGTCTTGATGGTGTTGGAACATTTAGACGATCTAGAAAAACAAGTATTAGTATGTTGATGAATCAAGACAATTATGTTGTACACATGGAAAGGAATGAATAATAGCAACGCACCCTCCCGGTCGTAAACATGATCAGTTTGAGGTGGAGAGGTTTCATGAAAAGGGAAATAAGACTCCTCTCTTGTATGAGGAGGTACTGTCATAAAAGGTTCGGGATTCGAAGATTGATGAGTACTCACATTGTCACCAGGAACTCTGGGTGAAGGTGGGTAATGATGAGAATCATGAGTAGTAGGGCGTTGACTTGCATAGTCTTGAGGATTGTAAGGAGGGATAGGAGGGATTTCATTAACAAAAGGTGTAGATTTATTTCCATGATGGGTGAAAGTTTCTGGGTTAGAAGGAGGAGGTGGTGGGAATGCATTATTTTCAGGATAGTATGAGCCTCCGGAAGCGTGAGGCGGCGAAGGCGAATATGTCTCATCACGGAAATTCGTGTAGTAACTTTCAGGTGCTTCGTCTTCATAGCCTGATTCAAAACGAATGTTAGTACGAAAGAAAGAGATACATGAGGCCGAGCCACTCGAACAAATGATTTAACAGATATTGGAAGTACCTATGGACATGAAAATGAAATAACAAGATCATTCGGGAGTTTTGGGGATAAGATTTGAAAATCTTTTGGATAGAGACGATCTTATTTCCGACGGGGAAACCGAGCGGGAACTTGATCTAGAGTGCTGGGGGACCTCACGTCTTCGTTCGCGCTCACGCTCATGTTTTTCTGCGTCCTTTTTTTCTTTCTTCTCCTTTTTCTCTTTTCTCTTTCTATATTCATTGATTCCAATGGCGGCCGCACCTGTACCCAACGCACCAGCAGCAAGATCTCGTACTCTGCTACGGCTTCTACTTCGTGATCGCGATCGTGGTCGTTCTCCATCTTCGTTAGATGAATCTCGTTTGTGTCGGCGCGATCGACTTCGACTACGTCTGGTAGCACCGTAAGCAGCTCCAGCTGTGGCCGCCGCGACAGCTGGATCGTACTCGTTAGGTCGATCGGATGGTGCTGGCTGCTGGTGCGTGTATACAGGTTCAGTACCGTACTGAACCATGCCTAATTCTGGGTCAACACCTGGATCAGAATATACGCCTGTAGATCTGGCTCTCGACCTGCTTCTAGTTCTGCTCCTAGTCCTGCTTCTTCTTCTCTCCCGTCTCTCATACACCTCATCTTCCTCGGCCTCCTGCTTGGCCTTTCTATTCTCATACAAACCGGCCACTGCAGCACCAGCAAGACCTGATCCAGCAATCTCCGCAGCTGTTCGAATTCGTGACTGCGATCGTTGACCACTACGCCTTCGAGATTTATTCCGGAAATGCTCTGCGACACCAGCGACTATAGCAGCTCCAGCTCCAGCTTTTGCCATGGATTTCTTACGATGCGCTGGATCGGCATGTATGCTCTTGCTCCTGCTCCTACTTCCATCACGTATGATGGTAGTGCGCTTTTCATACTCATCGGACCAATATTCATCACCATCAGAATAACGGCGACCACGAGACATACTTCTTTGTCGACTTCGACCACGAACTAACTCTTCCTTGTTTGCAGTTCTGTTCTGGGCGTATTTGACAGCAGCTCCAGCGGCAATTGCAGCAGCTGCCAAACCAAGGGCTGTCTTCAACTTATGATGGCCATGTGGGCTGCTTGATCTGGACCTGCTTCTGCCCTCACGACTGTCGCGATAACGACTGCGTGCTCTAGTAACTACTTCAGCACCAATCGCACCTAAAGCAGCTCCACCAATAACATTTCTACCACGATGAGCAATTTCAGATCCTTGCTTTTCCTTGTGGCTTGCCAAAAGAGCAGCTGCACCAGCTCCGGCTAAGGCACCTTCTGCCAAATGTCTTCGGTGATGAGGGCTATGACTACGACTGCGTGTTTCTCTCTTGACAACCTTTTTCCGTATGACATAACCTTCACTATCATATCCATCATCGTAACGACGATCATAATCCTCATCACGATCTCTCCTTCCACCAACCTCGCGAACATCCCTACGATAATAGTACTCATCTTCTTCTCTCCGCGGGTCAGGTCGTGGAATGATTTCTTGTTGTATTTCCGTCTTCCTTTCAATAACTTCAACCCGTTGTGATTCCGGCGCACTTTGTGGTATAATGATTGGAGCCGGGCTTGGCGCTTCTTGAACAATAATTTGTTGGGGTTCGGGAGCTCTTTGTCGAATGATAATTGGTGGTGGGGTAGGTTCTGGTCGATCATAGTACTCGGTTTCTCGGGAGTATCTTTCGAGTTCATAGGGTTCATTATGACGTCGAGCTATTGTCTTTTCGACTGTGACATCAGTTTCGCGATCCGTTTCCCATGGTCTATCATTCCGACGCCGTTCCCAAGGTAAGGGACTCCCGCTTCGTTCCCGCTCCCGCTCATAAACTACTGTTCTAGTGCGATCTCGTTCACGTTCGGGTTCTCTAGCTCGCTCAACTGTACTTCTCTGATATTCAACCGCTCGATCATAGTCGACAGCTGAACGAGGTCTTTCAGGTTCGTACCGTTCACGATCAACTTCAACCCTTCGATCGACCTCAATTCGCTCCGTTCTTCTGACTTCTGGTTCATATCGGTCCACTTCTACTCTGCGATCAACTTCAATACGTTCGGTACGTCTTGGCTCGGGTTCGTATCTTTCGCGATCAACCTCCACTCTTCGGTCTACTTCGATGCGTTCCGTTCGTCGGACTTCGGGCTCATATCGTTCACGCTCGCGATCAATTTCGACTCGACGATCCACTTCCACTCGATCACCCGATCGAGTTTCGTACTCTCGATGGGAAGAACGAACGGATCGAGTGTCGTCTACTTCCTCGACTCGATTAGGAGCGACCCGATAACGTTGGACGGTACGATAAGTACTACCATTTGGTTTCGAACGACCGTAGGTTGACCGTTCTTCATCGGAGGAGTAATAGTCGACCTCTCGGTCATGATAAGAGCTGCGAACCACTCTTTCAGGCATTTTGCAATGTTTACCCTGTAGTTATTGCCAAAAAAGTAAGGGTAAATCGGATATGTGTCCGGAGACCACACGGTATATGTTTGTAAGTAAATTTGTTGGTTGCGAGTGATTTTAATAAGAAGAAGAAAAAGAAGAGCAGAAGTTGTAAGTTGTTGTTATTTGTTGGTTGAGGGGGGTTGGAAGTTGGAGGATTACTTTGGATCGAGGCTTTGCTGCTGATACTTTGCGCGCTCACTCTTCCTATTGCCCCTCCTGACACGAGCGTATGTATGTAGGGAGGTACTAGGTAGATAGGTAGGTAGTAGTGAATAAATTTAATGATTAGGATTTGATCTGGTTGGTCCCACGGCCTGATGCGCCAATAGCTTATGTAGACATCTCGTGATATAAGCCAAATGATTGATTTGTATGGTTTGAGAGTTGAAGAAGAAGATAAGGTGTTGTGATGATGTTGTGATGATGTTGGTGAGAAGCTTATTGTATGTAATGTGTACTCGAGTATATAAGAACTCAAATATATGTATACTGTACGAAGTAAGTAGATGATGAGGGGTGATTCTTTAGATTTCCACACAGATACGATATACTCGAGTAATTGGGGGGGTAAACAATTTGACAGTGGGGACCACCAGGACTTCGGATGAAAGTGGAAGTGGATTGGAAATTTGCGTCAGTGTACATATATGAATTGGGCGGAGTCCAAGCTTTTTCGCTGCTTGAATGCACCAATCACACACTCAACTTTTACTCAACGAAAGAACCAAAGCAAGCAATTTACTGTGCAGCATGGAATCACCACGATCTCACCACCATCTCTCGGGCGTCTACTCACAAAATCTCTTTGGGTACCCATCTCAACCACGGGGAACCTTGGAGTGTTGGATCTGGCGAGCTGGTGAAGAAAAACAACCCTCGTAGCGCTGGGATTAGGTTTTGGATCATCCAAGGAAGCGTGACGGCCTAGGTACAGTATTTGAGGAAAAGGAAGCAATTCGAAGTTTGTGTGCGGTCCCATGCTGGGCCTTGTGATACTTATTGTCTTGTCTGTCTCATAAAGCTTTTCTGAGACTTGACTGATACAGTTTAGAATTGTTGAGATGTTGGGTAGAGGTGAAGGTGTAGGTAGATACTAGGTATATAGTAAGATCTCGCATTTCTTCTGGTAAATAAGCGTCTACTCAATAATTACCCAGGTAGGTAAATATGAAGGAATTTAGTCATAATCTTGTATTTATATTCATTAGTTAACTTGTCATATTATGATTATTATTATTATTATCTTTAATCTCTTTAATCTCTTTATTCCCCAACCTCTCAATGTTCCTTCCACCCATTCTTCAACAGTTTCGCACATATTATAAGAGGTAGGTATTATTATACCAGATCGGCACCTTTTATCTACTCGCCCTGGCCTGAGAGCTGGAGGGGCGTATCCTTGTAAAAAATGACAAAAATGACCAACTATGCAGCGTGGAAAGTTGGCGTAAGGTTAGCAAAGCGAATGAATGACGATGACGCACTCGTATCTTCGGGACATTCTACAATCAACAATCAACATTCAACAATCACAAATAAGGTTCACAATAAACAATGAAACAATTCCATCCAAACTTCTAATCGTCAGTCATATTGATGTGTAACTAGTTTTCGTAGTTCCCGCGGGTTGATCGGGTATACATACTAATGACACAAGCTAGATACTTAGCACACCATCTACTAGACCTCAGCCGTCAACAGAGCCGCACCTGGGCATGTGAAGTTACAAACCATCTCGGTAGATGGTTAAAGACTCAACTCACAATACTGCGCCACGAGATAACGGATGTTCGCATTCATTTATCACCACGACGCCCCGTTAGATACAACCAGATACCTACCTACCCGTGGACCTACCTAGTCTTACCTTAACCGCCACATCAGCGGTCAAAATCGTCATGGGCGTTAATGTACTCTCTTCATATCTTACGATCATTCTAGATGAACTACAGTATATTCACCAGTAAACTTTCCAAAAACGAGACCATCAGTAAAGACCGAGTAGAAACCACAGATCACAAAGTCCAGCCTGCACGCCATCCATGCAAGTCAAGGCGATTAGGCTTTTCGATCTACAGCGCCCAATTCTGTGAGTTTATTTAGGAAGTCGATCAGTTTAAGAATATAAGGCTGGCTGGTTTAACCTCGAGATCGTCTCGGATCTTTGGGTTTCAACTTTCAAAGCTGGCTGTGTTTGCTGCTGTGGGACGATGGTGGTGGGAGGATATCTGATTGGTTGGATATGGTATTGCTTACGAAAGGAAATTCAAACCGTCTCCACTCATCCTCGTGGAATATATTATGTTTGATGTCTGGTCTGGGTAGGTATGATTACACGCGATACAATCAGGTTGAGATAGTATAGCTCATCGATATATTATTTATGGATACTCGAGTAGCTCTCCAGAAATACAAAGTATCTTATGCAAATCTCTATCGATATGTAATTGATTTCATTCATAATTCTTTCTCTACTATCAAGTAATAAGGTTACCGGTATTGCGTTTTCTATTGCTTCTCGTAAGATTACAACGGAACCGTTCAGACAGACTTCTACTATTCTCAAGCACATGATGGCTGACTTATCTCATATCACTGAGTATGAAGTATAGTCTGACATTCTCATCTATGTTAAAACGCATAAATCTAAACCAAACAATATAGCATCCATGTGCATCCTGATTCCAAAAGATGCACCTTCTGGTATGTAATCATATCATAAAACATAACACTCGTCGCAACAAATCACCGACGTGAAATTCTATCTCCTTGAAGTCAATGAGCTAGCTCCCCAACGCCGATTCACAAAAGCGCGGTTAAATAACGATACTCATTTAACGTCTTTGGATGGGATCACCACCACCAACCGATCAAGTACCACATTGTAGCCTGGGAAAACACCATAAAATCAAGTATTAATCCGTACGCCAAATAGAATAGTTTAACATCTTAAATCGAGTCACTAAATAACCTTAAGACTAACAATCAATCCAATATAGGTAGGTACTTCTAAACAATGGATATCCCGAGCAAAAGAATACTACGGCTATCCATTTCAGTAAACACCAAACGATTTCTACTCTTCACTAAGGTTACGAGATATCTAGTTTCAATCTCAATCTCACATCTCACATCTCACATCTCACATCTCTACCGAAAATCTCACAGCACAATATTTAGGTAGGTAGGTATTCAATTTCATATTTCATATTTCATATCTATCTGCACTCAAAGTATCGTATCGAGATGAATACCATACCACAGCAATCCATGAATCTCAACATTTGTTTGCTTTTAATGCAAGGTTATCTACATCTTTCCTTTTTCATTGGCAACAGCACCAGCGACGGAGTCGCTCCCAGATTCCGGGTTGTCGTACTGCTGGTTGTGGTGTTGGTGCTGGTGCTGATACTGGTCCTGGGTTTGGTGATGGTCCTGGTGTTGTTGATGGTCCTGGTGCTGGTGCTGATACTGGTCCTGGTGTTGTTGATGGTCCTGGTGCTGGTGCTGATACTGGTGCTAGTGTTGGTGCTGGTGCTGATACTGGTCCTGATACTGGTGCTAGTGTTGGTGCGGATGCTGATACTGGTCCTGGGTTCGGTGATGGTCCTGGTCCTGGTGATGGTCCTGGTGATGGCTCGGGTGCTGGTGTTAATGGTGGTGTTAGTTCCGGTGGTGGTGTTGATGGTGGTGTTGGTTCTGTCGCTAGCGTTGGTGCTAGCGTTGGTGCTAGTGTTGGTGGTGGTGCTGTGATTGTGTTGCTATTCTCCAACGATGGCTGTGCTGAGGAGGAATTTTGAAACGCTAGTGATGCTGTCGCGAGATCTTGATCTGGAGATACATGAGCTGAGGATTGTGAGTTTAACGTCGAAAGTGGAAAACCTCCAGGCTCGTTCCACCCTCCCGATGACACGTTCGAATTGGCAGGACCCGGTGATTGCAAAACATTGGTAGACATAGGCTGAAGTGCCGCCGTTCCTCCTTGTGTGATGTTACTGCTGACGGGTACATATCGAGTTGCTGGTAGTTTTTCCAGTGACATACGATCTTGGTTACCTATATCCAGATCATCGCTGCAGATGTTTTCTTTTAGTCATGGTCTAGGAAACGTGGAAAGACTGAAAACTTACTCTCTTGTGCATTCCCTACAATACATATTCCTATCAGGTGTGATCATGGGTATCGCTTCTCTACAATAAGCATCCCCAACCAAATGTGTTTCGCACCGGTATCTGTGGTGGTAATCATCGTGCCCACATTTCAAGCATCTGAATCTATCTATTTCGCAATAGTAGCCAGAGGTTACATTACTAGGAGTATTCATGATGATCGTCTCTGAAGTTTTGCAATTTCGATTTTTGAGGTTGGACATAGATGTCATTTATAGACCATAGTTGGTAGTTTCTTTACATCTTTCATTCATTCGTTGTGAGGGTCTATTGAAAGGTTGATTGTGCTCTCATTACATCACATAGAGAGTCTATTCATGTTCCGCGAGTTCATTGCTTGTTAGACTAAGAAAGGTGAATCTCAATCAAATACTTAGTGACTCATGCTGCTATTTTCATTTTGAGATCTGGAGAGGAGGGGGATAATGCACTGTAGTCAAAGGGTCATATTCTTTTGCTTCTAATTTCCTAAATATTCTGTTCTATTGGTTTCCTCCTTTTACAATGCGAAAGTTCGCTGCAAATTAGGAATGTTCTTGTTTAGTTGGTGAGAATTCGAGGCTGGAGTAGAAGGACTTTCCTTTTTGCTATCTGCGGATGATATGTAATTTCTCGCGGCTTGTTAGCTGTTACTCGAATGTAGTTGTTCTCAGGAGTGATATCTTCAAGTGTTGGGTTTGAGTTGTTTTGCGGGGATTTGGGGATAGGGAAAATGATGGTGATGATGGGTGAATAACCTGTTCCGTTCAATCACTCAACTGTATCAAAAGATTGCTTGTTTGGCAGACTGCAATAGATAATGGTACCATGGGATGTTTAGATTGCCATCGACTATTAACCGGCTTACATATCATTTCGAATTGTTTTCAACTCAGAATGCTGTTTGAATTCAAGAGACTTGAAAGTATCGTTTTTTACAATAACGATGGTGTCAATCATTGTCTTTGCAGGCAAGCTATCACTCAAGTGGCACATTATTTTTATCTTCACGAAACCATCGAATACGGTAATCAACCATTGATAATTTCTATCATAAAACCAAAACTTCCCATCCCGGAAGCATCTCAAGAGGTTCCAAAAGTATCTAATCCGACCCCCATACTCCTAGGAATCCGTCTTCAAATAGAATTGTAGTATTCAACCATATATGCCATTTTTTGGGTACCCAGAAGTATACATCCAAAAGCGCGCTAGAGCCACCGAAGTTCTCAGAACTCTGGAACCACAATCCTTGGACCTCATCCCGTCAGTACAGGAGGACATGTGAAGTTACATCTGTTCTTTATGTACATTATTTGAACACCATCCTGCCGAGAGGCGATCGAACAGTCTGATTCGTAGAAGGCCACTCCCTTCACTTCTATCTCCTCTGCTCTTTGACCAAAAGTTGACCTGATATCAAGGCGTCAATTCAGGACAACTAGTCACGAGAGCAGAAAAATCAGGACGTGAATCAGTCTAGAGTATATTAGCAAAGTCAATAATCGCAACATAATCAGATTACATACTTTCTTCTTCTTCCTCATTTTCATCCTCATCCTCTTCGTCCACAAGATCTCCTCTTCCAGCAGCAGCAGCAGCAGCATCTGCTCTCGCCTGTATTCTCCGCTCCTCCTCAATTCGTACATCACGGATATCCTGTGCGACCCCATTCAGACCCGCAATCGCGCCAGCTATATCACAATTGTATTAGCAAGTCTCTAAAGATGATTAAGGAAATAAGAGGGATTTACTCAAGGCATCAAACATGGTATCCACATAATCGTTGAGATCCTCTGCAACGGGTGTTGCTGTGCCCGAGGACTCTGCGGGTTTCTTGGACTTGGACACCCGGGAGGATTCCCCCCCGGAAGATTTTGCCTTGGGTTTGACAATATACGGCTTCGATGTAGTTGCCGATCGATTGGTGTTGGACTCCCGCTTTTTGAGAGCATATTTTCCTTTTGCGCCAGGAAATCCACCCGTGGAAGATGTGCCGGATGCTTGCATTTCTCCAGCACCGCCAACGGGAATCGCGTGGGAAGCGCCGGTTCCGGCTCCTAGGGATGAGCCACTGGAGATTCCTGGTTGTGGAGCGTAGGAGGTTCCTCCCGGTTGGTAAAGGTCGGCGATGGGGAGAGTTGTGAGGGTGGGGAGGTTTCTGCCGTTGAAGAGGCTTTCTGGGGTGGAGACGGGTGGGTTGAGTTGGGGGGTGTAGGGGTAGAAGGGGGGGTGGATTGGTGGGGGGATGGGGTGCCGGGGTTGTGGGGGAGCTGGGGTGGTGTGGGGTGTGGCTGTTGTGTTTGTTGTGGTTGTTCTAGCTGTGGTTGTTGTGGTTGTGATTGGGGGGTTTTGGCGAGTTGGGGGTTGAGGGGAGAGAGGGAGGGGTATGCTGGGGTTTGTTAGTTTGGATGGGTATGGGGATGAGGGAGGGGAGAGAGGGAGAGAGGGAGAGAGAATCAACATACCCAGTGGCTTCTCTTTGAGATTCTCTTGAATCCCTATCTGTAGAATGTGTTAGTCAAGTGAAGATGCTACTACAGCAGGTAAGTTTCGAAGGGTATCAGGAGTTATACATACTGCGACTGCGCTTCGCCGAACCATCTCCTTGACGATCCATTTTGATAGTTGTGTATGTAGTTTATTCTTTGCTTCGTATGGAGATACAATAATACAAAGATATCGGAAGTTGAAAGTGCAATAAACTTTATCAAACTTGAAGTACAAGCAAAGTGTATAGTATGATATGATACAGAGAGCTCAGTAGTATCTTACAAAGAAATGAGTGTTTCGAAATGGATAGTAGAAACAATGTATCTAGAGAAAGAAGAAGTGTTTTCTAATACAGAAGGAGAGAAACATAGGTAGGTATTGAGGGGGTATATATAAACATTTGTGAACAAGCTTCCCCGCTTCTCATGACATTTCTACAGTAGCTAAGATTGGTACTTTGAGGGGTTTGATTACTTGACAGAAGAGACAACCCGAAGCCGAAGCCGAAATTAGATTTGTTTTGGTTGGTATTAGATTGACCTCGGAGTATCTCGAATATTAGAGAGGGGAAAATGGTGAAGTAGAGCATTGGATGAGGGGGTAGTTTGATATTGCTATATGATAACTGACTAGTAAGGATACTAATGAGATGAATGAATGAGTAGTATATAATGATGCTGAGTTTTTCACTTGGAGAGGTATCTGTATGAACTAAATAGTTTTTTCAGATTTGATGATGAGCCAAATTGAGGTATTCAAGAAGATAATATTAACAAAGATTGTCTGTCTACTCTCTGATTCTATTTCTTATTAAACATTTACTATTTGCTCTTCATCTAGAAACCATCATCAATACATTCATCAAACCAACAAACCACATAACTGTATACATTCATCACAAACTTTCTAGTCACCTACAGATTCACTTCTCGGTCTTCGGTCTTCGGAGTGATGATTCTACTCTTGGAGGTATCATGATCTGATATCCATCTTCTCATTTCCTATCTATAACATTCACTTTGGAAAAGAGACACGAGAAAGAGGTTTGAAGGAAACTTGGAAAAAAGTGGCGGAGTCAATGAATGTTCGGGATCTCTCTTGAATGTTTCCTGGTAAGTAGTTTTATCATTCTTTGTTTTCCCCTTTCTTTGCTCTCATCTATCTTCTCACAGTCCAACTCCCCCTTCACACACAACGATACCCTACAAACAAAACACTCAAACCAACCACACATCACTCTTTCAAAATGTTTGTTCCCTTCCCTACAATCAACTTTTTGACAATCCTGTCCTTTCTCTTTATCATTGTGTCTGGAAATCCTATCAAGCGCAGCGAGGAAGAAGCTACAGGAGTGAGAATATCAGGTCTTTTTGGTCTCTTTACTACAATTGCTACTTCTGCTTTGACGACTGGTGAACAAGTAAGTCCTAGACTTCCTTCCTAACATGATTATTTGATCTTACCCTTCTCTTTCCACATCACCCTATCACCAATTTCCTCAGCCCCGAATCACTCAAACTAGCCACTCGATCAGCCTTCCAAGAAAAACACAATCACTAATCCTAACACCAACCCAACAGGCCGGTATCGTCATCCTCTCAAGCCAAACCATCTACATCCAAGAACCCAACAATTTCCCCGCCACTGAATGGGGCGTACCGGAGCCCACACGCTCCAGTTCCAGCTCCAGCTCCTACGCAGCTGGAGATGTTGCTGTGACTAGCACATTTGGGAATACACCATATAGTTTTCCTACCTCTGGTTTCCCTGCTGCGAGCACGCAGGTTGATGCTTCTTCGTCTGAAGTTTCTTTTACTGATGCTCCGGCTTCTGCTTCTGCTTCTGCTTCTTCATCCGAAGATTCTTTCACCGAGACTCCTGCATCTTTATCTGCATCAGCATCAACAGACTCAACCCCAACACTGATCCTAACACCCATCATCGAAGACAAACAACAAATTGCCGCCACAACAACATCATGCAACCCCGCCATTGCAGGCGTAACAATCCCCGCTAGTGCTCTCACAACCGGCGAATACGTCGCAGTGGAAGTTCTCTGCGAGGAAACAATCTACATTCAAGAGCCCAATTTCTATCCCACCAAGACCTGGTATGGTATCTCCGCCTCCTGGACACTAAATACCACGGTCACCACATCCACATCTACATCCACGATATGCAATACCACAGTTGCCGGTGTTACTATTCCCGCCAGTGCCCTCACGACCGGAGAATTCGTCGCTGTGGAAACTCTTTGTGGCGAGACGATTTACATTCAAGAACCTAATTTTTATCCGACCAAGACTTATTACGGTGTTTCCGATGCTGCTTCGACGAGTATGACTACAACTTCTGCAACGAGTGCATCTCCATCAAGCACAACTATGGACGTTGGATCGCAGGTACTGAATGCCCGCGCCGGAGATGGTGTACCGTTTTTTGCGAATAACATGCCGACTTCTCTACGTCATGTGAATGCGAATCGGATTCAGAGTGTTGCAAGTGGTTGTGCTGAGGCTTTTGAGTAGAAAGTTTGTATCAAAAAAAATATGGGAGATTCGCAGTACGTGTGTATTCGAAGATTATTTCACATTTATTGTGGCAAGCTCTAGTGTAACGAAGGCAAACAAGCGCAAGAATTTCAAATATTCATGACTTTGTTATGGGGAAGTGATGTGCTTTTCAAAGCTTGCTGTTGTTTGAGCGATTTGCTTGAAAAGCTAAAAGCTTCGAATGTACTGATAGTATAGATGACACTTGCCATTATGGCATTAGAATGTGAATAGAAGAGTGCCCTCACAAATGCAAGTGAAAATGATTGACAAGAAATTTGAAATGATATCAGATGATGGAGCTACCTAGGTTTCTGCAACTGTATCTGATAGCAGAAGACTGCTTTTTGGTGAACTTTGACCAGAGAATCTGATAAGTTGACTATTGTGTATAACTGAGGAATGAGCGTGACTATCTGCAGAAATCATGATAGTATTGATCATGGTTGTGATAAATCGGTTATCGCCCGCCGAAAGATGGTTAAGCTTGAGATTCCCATGAAAGATGCTCCTTCATAGCCTTTCCTATATCGCTGTTCAAGTTGAAAAACCAATCATGAGACCATCTATCCTCCATATCCTCTAATTTCAAGACTTTCCATTGTGATCCTGCTTTCATCTATCTTGACACGATTTTGATAATCAAGCTAACCCGCACCCTATTTCCAGAAATTTGGGACCTTCGAAATCATTAGTCTCTTATCATACTTTACATCTTATTTTATCCATGAATTTTCTCAAGGCATTCATCTCAAATGGATTCATCAACCCCCAAACTCCAAGCAAAGCAAATTTTCCCACGACCAAAACTCCAACCATGCACAACCTCCGTCTCGGATCCTCTATAACAAATCAAAATCGTCCAATTTCTCTCTGTATTTCAAGATATTCCTCTTGATCTTCGAGCCATCCACCCAAGTAACGAAATCTTCCATGCTTCTCGTAACTAAAAATGCCGTGTCTGTGATAGTTTCCGTACCCACTCTAACATGTCCTTGCTCGATAATCTTATTCGCAGCCTGTACTGTCTCTGCCATTCTTAATCTTGTCATTACAACCGGTAAACGTCTTCGACAGAATGCGGAAACAGTAACGTGCGATTCAACAGAGGAAAGTTTGGAAGTGGAAGCGGTGGAGGGGAGAATTCCCATATCGTGAAGTTTAGAGAGGAGGAGCTGTTCATGCTTTAGACGGACTTGAGAATCGGGAGGTAAGAGTGTGAGTTTGTGGGCGAGTTGACGGAGAGACTATTCATATTTATATATTAGTATTTGATGGTTCCTGCCATAGGAACTAGAAACTTACACCGCAAAGTCTATTGTATTTTTGATAATCCCCAGGTTTTTGGATCGCATATCTTCGTATCACAGCCGCATCTCGATGATTGTTATCCGATGCGTAGGTTGTGAAGTCCACTTTTCGGAGGAGCTTCTGCTCATGATGCTTAAGTTTACGAACCATATTGTGAAATTGAGTTCAGTTGAAAGAGTTGAAAGATGTTATGTCTGGCGCGAATGTCTGATGTCTATCATTATTCCATTGTAGATATCAAAATAAATTTTTGCGGGTCATCGGAATAACCAGCTCCGATGCGGGATTTCGGCCCGCTTTGGACTTCAAGATTTTGGGATTGAGCAACACCAAGTGGTCCTGATATTGAATCGTTCAAGTATAGCAACCATGCCTCCTCGACTACAATGTTTAAATGCCGCGCGCAATGCGGTCTCATCGCCGCTCCTTGGAATGCGATTTTCAACCAGTAGGATTATGTCGGCTGGTATGTCAATTATCATTCAAAAATATCTCCACCATGAAGCAAATTGCTAATGCTCCTCGCAGAACTTCCTCCAAGATCCGACACATCCCCCTCAGAAACGATAGGTTATGATAGTCTGATGTCTCTTGTAAACAAAGCTCAAGAGAAGAGCCACGAGCGACGCAAGGCATTATTAGCCAATTCTAGGGTGCAGCAAACTGCGGCTCAGGAATACGAAGACAATGTTTCGAAATCAGCTCTGACAAAACAAATACATAGAAGATGGAGAGCTGGAGATGTGTATGCGCCACATGATTTGAGTGGGATAGAAATGGCGAAATGGAAGAAGAGAGGAAAGGTTACGAGGGATGTTTTTGATGTGGTTGCTTTTGACCCTATAGCTACGGGGAGTTACAAGGTTAGTTTTTCTTTCTTGGATTGAGAAAGTAGAATGATATGGCCATTTTTGAGAGAAGCTTGAGTAGGACTAATGGATGTTTCAGAATTTCTCAATCATGTCAGAATATGTAACGCCGATGGGAAGGATTAGAGGAAGTAAGGAAACGGGATTGAGACCGGTTAATCAGAGAAAAATTGCCAAGGCAATTAGGAGATCTATTGGTTTGGGTATGATGCCGAGTGTGCATAGACATCCAGAGGTTCTTTACAAGGCGAGGGAGAAGGCTGAGATGAACGATAATTACAAACGAGGTACATTGGTGTAGGGTATTTGCAGGATGGCAGAAATGAAGGAATGTATAATATATGTCGACTTGGTCGCAGACATGCCTAGTGGATCGGAGTTTGCCGCAATGATGTCAAAATTAAGCCTGTATCAGTTCCGGTCGCGGAATAAGCCACATCAACTAAGTACTACTGGAAATGAAGGGGGGAGGCCCGTTTCCGTGAAGTTACTATCATGCCATTAGCTGTTTGTTTGACGTTACAACTGGCGAAGTTGCCACTGTCACGCCGACTCGAGAGTTCTCGAGTTGGACAGTATGCGTTCGCGAGGGGGCTGATTTCTTCATACTACATGAGCGCCGTGAGATGTGTTTCGATGGATATACATAAAAATTCAATAACGATCTAACAAAATTTTATCAATATTCGGCTCTGCAAGTGTATGAATGCAGACATGGGAGCTCATACTTCTGCCTTAATGATTAGGCCATACGCCTGAACAGGTGCTCAGGTAGGTATCCTTGAAGTCGGAAGCCGTACAAACAAAACATCGCCATTACTCCAACACACTAATTATCGATACTAAAGTCTCTAAACCAACTCTTCCAAATACATTTCAAGTTTCTTACAATTTATTCAAACACTTTAAACTCCATTCTATACAAACTCATCCATCCACCTTACCTTCAATCGGCCTAACCCAAAATGCGTCTCTCACGTCCTTCCTTTTTACTAAAATGGGGCCGACAACCTTTCAAAAGACCTTTCATGGCTCTTAATACGAGAACTCCCCGTACTCTTCGGAATTATTCTACTGCCAACGACCCCAATGTATCAAATTCTGACCTCGCCAATGATTTAATTCCCACACACAGCATCGATTATGAAGAGTCAATGAAGATGATTGGTAAAATCGAGAAGGAGCTCGAGGAAAAACGTCTTTTAACGGAACAAGTAAACATGCTAGAGTTGATTAGGTTGAGATCAATGTATTTCAGAATGGTGAAGGAGAAGGGAACTGTACTTAGGAAACAACAGTCGCAACTAGATGCTATGGAGATGGAACGCAGACAGTCCTTCAAAGTTTTCTTACCAAACTCAATCCGCCAAGCCAATAAATTCCAGCAGTTGGAAATTATCTTCGACGCTACGTTTGGAATTTCTAAGGACGACGCCAAAACTTTGTTGATCATGGACGAAAGTTGTGATGAGGAATACAAAGTACAGTATACTTTGGAAGCCCATGGATTGGTTTTTAGTCGTCTCATGCCGGACACATTTCCACCGGTATTCAAAGAGTGGCTGGAGACGATTCGAGAGGTCAAAGCCCGAATAAACTATGTAGAGGCGGCATATCGAAGAAGCGCCACCGTTGAGGAGGATGGCGCATTAAAGGCACCGGATTTATTTTCCACAGCTGACGATAGATTGTGTGAGAAAGCCAAGGAGTTAACTGAGGCTTGCGACCTCGCTTACCTTGATGATTTTAAGACTTTTAGTAAATCTACTTATCCCCTTTGGAAATACAAGGATAGAATGATTGCAGAATGGGAAGAAAGAAAATTGATGCCAGAGTTGATGGCGGCTGCCGAGGCCAATAGGAAGATCTACTGGAGGTATCTATGAGGTTTCCAGTTGTATTAGATGGTGTAGAGATTTGGCGGAAGTGGGAAAGGAGGTGGGACCTCGCCCCACAAAACTGTTCTGTCACGACAACATAATGTCCCTCTTTAAATAGCAAAACTCCCCGCTCTATAATATAAGTATTAGTAGTGATACTGACAGACCATACATGTATTTATCACATAAACTTGTGATTTTGAATGTTGCAAAATGTGAGATTGTCCCTTGAAAATCGCCAGCCGAGAAAGCAGTTGGCCAATCTCTTACGAACAATCGAGGATTTTTACAAACTCCACAATATCCCAATAGTTGATGAGAGAAACTTGTGCAAGAAGGAATTCGGTGTCAAACCCTGATTTACAGGGGCTTCCTTTGGAGTCTCGCAGAAGAATGCAAAGGAGCCTTTTTAATATTATAGCAAGTCTCTTCTGTAACTTTTATTGCTTGAGAAATAAGCGAAAAACTGAAATACATCCATAGAACAGGGGATATCTCGACGACTAATAATAGGTAGATAAACTAAAATAATGTTCATGACTGCGTTGAAACCGAGTTCGGAGAAGCTTTTTCTTGAGAATCACGGAACAATTTGATGGATATACAACATAATATTTCCTAAAGAAACTGAGATGCCTGTGATCTAGCTCGTGCAGATCAGGAAATAAAACCGAGGATATCTCGTCTGAATTATTGGGATACCGGGCAGGCAACACTTATATGAGTGTGAGGTTCGGACCTGAAAGATATGGATAATTGTATTCGTGTATGCCAAATAGCGTGGTTGAGTAAGAAAAAACTATCTGTAGTTATGAGTGATCAGCTTATGTTATCGAGATAGTTCTATTGGAAATGAAAACAAGTTGATATCTCAGTCATGAGTGTCCGATTTTTCTGATTATGTACCTATTCCGGGTAAATTATACACAGAGGAGTGGAAAAGATTGGACGACAGTGCAAGTTATGCAGTGTATAGAAGATGTGAGCTTCAATGAGGGGGAAATTTGAGGCTTCAATTGTGGCTTCTTATTGCAATGATCGGTCGATTTTGATCGTCAGAAAGAGAAAATGTCATTAAATTTCACAAGAAATCCGTAGGTTCATTTTCAGTCACTAGCAATATTCTAATCAATTCTGATACTATCCCGCCTCTTCTTAAGTCCAAATTGAAAATCTCAAAATTTACTTCTTCTCAGAATATACGGCAAAGATTACCGAACTTTAATAAATGGGCCCAGAGAATTTTGATGTTGATTGTCAAAACACAGTTCTTGTGAAGACAAAAGAGGTGCAAAAAAATGTGGTGGTCTAGCTGTCGTATTCGGGAGGAAGGAGTTATACATACGTTCGAATTGGTGAACAACTATTCCAAGCGCCCATTTGCTCCGATCTATGCGATCGAGTATCAATTGCTGGTCTATATGACGTCTTATAAATTGCTAAGTTGCTAATTTTCTAGTCTATGCGACCACTGAAGTCGAATGATTCGATTTCTCAAATCATCCTTTGCTAAATGTGATCTCGTAAATTATGATAGGTGTTTATAATCATACGAAGGGGTGGCGGATGGCTGTCTGCATTCTGTGGCAACTGTTAGCTTAAATTGTGAATTCTATTTTGACTCGAGCGGTGAATTAGACAGCTAGACCACAAAATGTGTTTGTTTTGAGGGTTTCAGCCTCTGAAAAATATAAAGCAGCGGTAGCGAAACGCTTGTTAAGGGAGAATTACGAGGCTCAGTTTGGTCATTTGGGTCTTAGGTAGAGCAAACGATGAAATCAAGTTCGACAGTACGAAATTTAAGCAAGCACCCGCGCAGTGTACGCCAGATTTTTATATATTACTATAGAATTTATAAAAGACAAGCTATATTTTGGGCGTATTATTTAAGATTTCATAATGAAGATTCGATTTGGTTTAAATTTAAGGAGACAGGACTCATAGTGTCCTCGATTTGCCGTTTATGTATAGAATCTACGCAGACACACCAAGTCATATTTGAGCTTCTATACTTGCGATGGAAGTTCCAAAACACAATTGATGGCGTAGAGATTTGGAAATTCGGAGGCTTCGTTCCACAATGCAAGAATTGTAGCCCAGGCGATTCATTTATGCTATGAAGGCTCTCACTGCTATTGGGAACATGAGCAAGGTAGGAAACCATGTAGCAACATGATGTTTTATACTTTTGAGATCACGATTTGTACTGTACTTCCAAGGGAGTATTATACTCGGGAGAGCAATTCTAGAATCCCGTACCATACAAACGGAGGGGTTTAGATGAGCGAAGATAATCGCCACTTTCGATGCCTTTGCCAATCCTCAACCAAAGTCCCAACCTAAAGTTTTGTTTGTTCAAGGGTCTTAAGCTTTATGAAATCAGTATGCACAATACGCATAGTTATATGTGCATCGAGGTAGTGTTTGTCTTTGGTTTGCGTGATTCTAGAACGTGAAACGTAATAGTTCCACTGAAAAACTTTCTACACTTGTAGAAAATAGAATTAGAGATGACATACTAAATATACCGACTTTCTAATTCAAAAAACAGGAGCCTGCGTTAGTGTCCTACCTTATATTACTCATTTAAAAATGCAAGAAGTCAGGGTGGCCTAGTGGGATAGAACCAGCTTACATGAACCAAACCTCTATACAGAAACGAAAACCTTGGATACCAACTATGAAGTGCCAGGCGTCAGTCTTCTGTGCTTTGAAGCCATGAGTATAACTTTGAGATAACTATGTGTGACAATGTCTTTGACTGCGGTTCCCAATGATCCAAGGAGACTTCCCAAGGCCAAGATAATCGACTGCGCAGATCTTCAAGCTTAGAGAATATTCCCTAAGGAGAAGAGAGTCGATACTATGTCTTCTTTTACTAAACTCTTACTCAAATATAACTAAGAAAGTATTACTATAGTTGCTTTCACACAGAAGGAAGAGGCAAAGAAAGTAAGTTACCAAGCGAGGTCTGAATCTACTGAAGTTGTGAGCCATATGGACCGTGCGCAAGTGGATCCGCAATGATTACATAAATACTTCAAAACGGCTGCTACTCAATCGCTAGGCTGTCGGGGATTGATATATTTATTTACTCTCAGCCTTGCATCTTTTCTCGAGGTTTCATTATTTCAATGCTTTGAACCTTGGATTTTTAATACAATAACATTCGCAATTATGTCTGGTCGACGCGATTTCCTCAGTCAAAAGGCGCCAGAAAATTATGTCGCTGGTTTAGGTCGAGGAGCGACAGGATTTACAACACGATCTGATTTAGGTCCTGCGCGAGATGGACCAAGTGAAGATCAAATCAAAGAGGCTCTTGCAAAGCGCGCTGCTCAACTCGGTCAAGCAGCTCCTACAGCATACGGAGCTACAGAAAAGAAAGATGATGAGGAGGACGATGAGCGCTTCCAGGATCCGGACAATGAAGTTGGGTTATTTTCAGGTGGCGTTTATGACAAGGACGATGATGAAGCAGATAGGATCTACCAGGAAGTGGATGAGAAGATGGATAGAAGGCGGAAAATTAGAAGGTTTGTCTCCCCATTTATTTCGAGTCCCCATCCTCCAATGCATTTGGTTTATCATATGAAAATAGATGAGCAGATTACCGACGAGTTTACCTACAGGGAAGCACGAGAAAAAGCAGAAAGGGAAGAATACGAACGCAATAATCCCAAAATTCAACAACAATTCGCGGACCTGAAACGAGCATTAGGAACAGTCAGTGATGAAGATTGGGCAAACTTACCGGAAGTGGGTGATTTGACTGGCAAAAATCGACGAAGCAAGCAAGAATTGAGAAAGAGGTTTTATGCAGTCCCCGATAGTGTTATTGCTGGAGCTCGGGACACAACTGAGTTGGGGACCACTGTAATGGATGATGGAGGAGAAAGTGCAGCAGGTGATGGACCTGATGGAACTATGACCAATTTTGCGGATATTGGAGCGGCGAGAGATAAAGTACTCAAAGTAAAACTCGATCAAGCGTCTCAAGGCACCGACTCAATGTCTGGCAGTGCGACCAATATCGACCCGAAAGGATATCTTACAAGTTTAGCCAAATCCCAAATTAACGAGGGAGAAACCCAAGTTGGTGATATCGTCCGTGTACGAACTCTGCTGGAGTCTGTTATCAAAACGAATCCAAAGCATGCTCCAGGATGGATTGCAGCTGCTCGTGTCGAAGAGCTTGCAGGAAAAACTGTAGCGGCACGTAATATCATCGCACGTGGTTGTGAGTATTGTCCTAAGAGCGAGGATATCTGGCTGGAGAACATTCGATTAAATGACAACCACAACGCAAAGATTATTGCCGCAAATGCCATTAGAAATAACGATCGTTCAGTGCGGTTATGGGTTGAATCGATGAAATTGGAATCAGAACCCAGAGCCAAGAAACGAGTCATTAGGCACGCGTTAGATCACATTCCTCAATCTGTGAATCTCTGGAAAGAAGCTGTCAATCTCGAGGAAGATCCCAGTGATGCACGTCTGCTTCTTGCAAAAGCCACCGAGATCATTCCCCTTTCAGTTGAGTTGTGGTTAGCGCTTGCAAGGTTAGAAACATCCGAAAATGCACAAAAGGTCCTTAATAAGGCTCGCAAAGCTATACCTACTTCTCATGAAATTTGGATAGCTGCTGCCCGTCTTGGTGAGCAAATGGGCACAGCGTCTAAAATAAATGTCATGAACCGTGCTGTTAAAGCTTTGGCGAAGGAGTCTGCCATGTTAAAAAGAGAAGACTGGATTACTGAAGCAGAAAAGTGTGAGGAAGAGGGAGCAGTTCTGACTTGTGGTAACATCATTCGTGAAACACTTGGATGGGGACTGGACGAAGATGATGATAGAAAAGACATTTGGATGGAGGATGCAAAAGCTAGCATCAACCGTGGGAAATATGAAACTGCTCGTGCTATTTATGCTTATGCACTTCGAGTATTTGTGACTAGCACAAAGCTTTGGCTTGCAGCTGCAGACCTGGAAAAGAACCATGGTACCAAGGAAGCTTTGTGGCAATTACTCGAGAAGGCTGTCGAAGCACGCCCTACCAGTGAAGTGCTGTGGATGATGTTAGCAAAGGAGAAGTGGCTAGCCGGTGAAGTCGATAACGCACGAAGAGTCCTCGGTAAAGCATTCAACCAGAATCCAAATAACGAGGAGATTTGGCTGGCGGCCGTGAAACTAGAGGCAGAAAACAACCAACCAGAACAAGCACGAGAACTTCTCAAGACGGCACGACAAGAAGCCCCAACTGATCGTGTATGGACAAAGAGTGTTGCATACGAAAGACAGTTAGGTAATATTGACGCAGCTCTGGATCTCGCCAATCAAGGATTAAATCTCTTCCCCAGTGCAGCCAAATTGTGGATGATGAAAGGTCAAATTTACGAAGGCGAAGGTAAAATGCCACAAGCTCGTGAAGCTTACAGTACAGGTACAAAAGCATGTCCAAAATCTGTTCCGCTCTGGTTACTATATTCACGACTCGAAGAGCGAGCTGGTATGGTCGTTAAAGCACGTAGTGTCCTCGACAGAGCCCGGTTGGCAGTCCCCAAATCACCAGAATTATGGACGGAATCTGTGAGAGTTGAACGACGCGCAAACAACACTGCGCAGGCTAAAATCATGATGGCAAAAGCTCTCCAAGAAGTACCCAACAGTGGATTATTATACACAGAATCGATTTGGAATCTTGAAGCACGTACACAAAGGAAACCAAGGGCATTGGAAGCTATCAAGAAAGTCGACAACGATCCAATTCTTTTCGTCACTATTGCCCGTATTTTCTGGGGCGAGAGAAGATTGGAAAAAGCGCAGAATTGGTTCGAGAAGGCTATTTTGCTAGATAGTGATTTGGGTGATACGTGGGCTTGGTATTACAAGTTTCTATTGCAGCATGGTACTGAAGTAAGTCTCCACTCCCCTAACTCTAGACGTGGAAATGAGAATAGGCGACTCGATGGCGTGGTTGTGTTTGAGATGTAGATCAAGACTAACATGATTCAATAGGAAAAACGAGCAGACGTGATACAGAAATGTATACTGAGCGAACCTCGCCACGGGGAGTATTGGCAGGCGGTAGCGAAGGATCCGAAGAATGCGGGCAAGGGCATCGAGGAGATATTGAAGTTGGTGGTGGAGAAAGTAGAATGAGGGGATGTTATGGATGGAAATGGAAATAGGAATACAATGAGATGGGAGCGAGGAAGTAATGGGTGTATGATATGATATTGAAGACACATAAATATTTCACATAAGTACTTGCTTGGTGCGTGGCTTGATGATTGAGTGAAGCATGTTGTATACGTGTAATATATTGCACACTCGGATCATGCGAGAGGAATTGAGTGCTGGGTTGGTGATGGTGATGTATGGAATAGAGTCTGATTGTCGGTGTGTCAATGAGGAAAGGAAGGTTGAGACTCAAACGGAAAGATTTGTAGGGGTTTCGACGGGGAGAGAGAGAGGAGTAGGGAGTCTATTACACAAATAAATTTACATCGACTTTCATATTATATTCACACTACATTCACGAAAGACAAAAGACGAAAAGGTGTATATGTGTGAAGGTGTTTCTATTCGCCAACACTAAAGACTATTACCAGTCATCCATCCATTCCTTCCTTCCTTCCGGATATCGTACATTCATAAGAGCAAGCTATCATGTGTAGCAAGCAAAAGTAAAGCCCATTCAATCCCAACGCTAAAAGAAATAACAATGCTTCGATTCATTCATCGTCCTGCCGTCCTTCGCAACAATGTAAATTATTCGAAAGAGAGGAACTTATTTGTTGCCAGTGAGGGAGGAGGCTGTCAAATATGTTAGCTATGTGTGATTCTTTGTTTGTTGCTGGAAGATGTAGTGGGATATTAACGTACCAGTGTTGGAGAGGGTTTCAGAGACAGTGTTTGCAGCATCGCCGGCAGTGTCTGTGACGGAACCAAGGATACCCTTTCCTTCGCTTTGGGCATCGTCTGCTCCAGAGCGGGTCTTGTCGGAGAGTTCTTGGGTGGTGGATTTAGATTCGGCTGTAAAGATGGATGGTTAGTATCTTGTGCGAGAGGAAGATTGGGGAAAGGAAGATTGCATACATGGTTGAACGGCACCAGCAGCCTTGTCGACACCTCCAGAGACGTTCTCTCCGATCTTGGTGGTGGTGGATTTTTGAGAGTCGGGAGTAACCTTCTCGGAGACTTGCTCGCCAACACCTTTGCGGAGACTGTCAGACATGTTGATGGAGTTTTGTTTTGAGGTGAAGAGTTGAAAAGTTGTTTGAAGTTTGTGATTGTAGGTGTGAAGTGAGTTTGTTGAGATTTTGTTGATGTGAATGAGGAATGAAAATTGAGAGGAAGAAATGCCCTTCTTATACTTAGGGAGGAGAGGAAATGTGATACTAGCCACGGTTCAAACGAGGCAGGAACGCACGCATGCCCAGGTGCTTCTTTCAAACCAAGTTAAAGCAGGTTTGAGAAGGAGGGGTGAGGCAAGTGGCTAGTGAATAATACCTACCTACCTAGTACCTACTACCCACCTGCTCCTTCCGATCCTGCTTGCTTTTTGCTTGTTTGTAGGCAACTTCTGCCTAGCATCTGGACCTGCCACACCAAGACAAGTAAAATCATTATTGGGTAGTAACATCTAAGAGAATATTATGCAATAAGAACCTGGAAACGTCATATATCCACAAGGCAACGCCACACGGTCGCATGATCATCAATGTGGCTATTTTTCCATTTGATCCATTTGATCCATTTGATCCATTTGTTCGGGATCAAAAAGCCTCTCATAAGTTGTGTATCAAGTTATGTACCCAGTATGTATGGCGGGGGGCAATGATTCCCACTGGTTCGTCCCACCCCATTCTCGCTAATGGGCAAATTGAAAATCCCATGTGAGAAGACATCGAGATTTGATTTCAAGGAAATCTATCCAAGATATACTGACGCATCCACCAATTGAAAAAATCGAACGGCCATTTGAGATTACAATGGAGCAATAAGAGACGGAGATGATGCAAAAGGATTTACCAACATATGCGCTGATGCCGGTTGCAGGAAGATTGTGAGATGGTTCTTTCATCCTCTTGTGTACTTATGATGTAATATGTAACAGGGGATATATGTGTCGTCATTACCAACAATTGAAAGATGGGGAATTGCGAACCACAATAATCAGAATCAATGGCACGCACGCAAGCAATTTTTGTGTGGGAAGGCGTTATCATCTTGCGATGGTGGATGAGTGAATCCATGATCATGGTACGAGTACGTAGACAAGATTTATATTGGGGAGATGAGATAATAATGACACAATACGTGGGTAAGAAAGAATCAATTGTGAAGCATGCATGGTAGTAGAATTGACATGGAGAGATATCAATGATAAAAAAAAAACACGTGATTAGACGATGGGATAGTTTTCTCAACTCTTTGCTACGATAGAATAACCAATTGACATGATGATGGAGAAGGTACCAACCCAACCATGTTTTTAATCTTTTGGTGAAAGTTTGGAAATTTTGATAAGTGAAGTGTGAAGAATTGGTGTGAGCTGGGTCGTGATTACCTAACCGTTGCTAAACCAATTAAAGAATGGCTCCCGGCACGTCAACCATCTTTCCACGTGCTCACGCGAATGTTGAGTTCTTTTCCGTTTGATGAAACGTTTGTACATATACGTATACATTACATAGCAGCGGCAATGATCAAACCTAGACATTCAATTATCTGCTTGTGTACTCTTATTATATTCCTGTGGATTCTGGAAAAAGTTGATAATATGAGGGAATGCAGCACGCCAGGCTTATTAATGTGCATCTACTCAAAACCCCTTACTTTACCTCATTATCGTGTCTTGCGAATAATGAATTCTTCCATCAAAACATCATCACCGATATACATATCGAACGCACATGCCCTCTAGCCAATCATCTCTCTACAATGAAGTAGCCAAATCTTTTGTTGCATGTCTACTATAGGGTCTGGAGCCTGTAACCCAGTGTCTTGGAGCCCTGGGGTGGACTTCATCATGGGAACGGTAAGATGTACAGAGTCAAGACACTCGACAGTACTAATCTTTTCACGACAGGCCAAGACGCGTTGTAGTAATATACAGTGGTAGGAGAGAAGTACGCACACAACAAGTGTCATTTCACAACATTTTTTCTTGAGTTCAAGTGAGAACTTTCACTGGAGATATCTACACAGTGCAACGCATCGTTAACATCATACACATCCATAACACAACTTAGACCTCCCTGACCGTTTCAGCATTTGTACTCTTCTCGCTACCATCCAGTGGTGCAACAACATGCTCATCGACGTCCTTCCTTCTGACATCTTCATTAACAACTTTGAAGAGTACATCCATTTCCTCCAAACTCAAGCCTTTGGTCTCTGGAAGGAACAAAGTGAAGATGAATGCGACCGAGTTAAATGTTCCGAAAATCTGTTCCCACCAAGAATTATTAGCTTTTCCCGACTTTTTCAAGGTTTCTTATCTTTTATGTGGAAATAACATACCATCCATGTTTTCCATCCAATGTTCAACACTGCGATGGGAGTTTCTCGGGAAACGACATAGTTGAAAAGCCACACAACCATAACACTGATAGCCATTCCCCAATCACGAATTCGAGTAGGATAAATCCTGACAATGTTAGTCTCTTGGAGAATATTGGGGTATTGTGACAACTTACTCTCCAATATAGACCCAAGCGATAGGACCCCAAGACATTGAATAGAATACGACGAAAAGGTAAATGATTGCCATCTGAAAAAGTTATTATTAGGCTCAGCCTGTGGTGTTGAAGTACACTTACCATTCCCTTTCCACTTGGCGTATCGTTTGTTAAACTTCCAGCGGTTGGTGGATGTGTGGCTAGGACTGCACCAAGAGCAAACATACAAATTGCCATGCCAGCACTACCGATACTCAATAGATTTTTCCTCTTGAAATGTTGGATCTAAATGATATCAGTGTCAGGATGATCCACTTATGAATTGAGACACAATAGACAGCAGAGGTATGATCAAACTTACTCCTGCGATCAAGAAAATAATAGTAGTAGCCACTTTAAGACAGGTGAAGATTCCACTGGCAAAGAGAGCAGCATTCTGAGCGGTAAACCCAATTTGTTTGAAAACTGTTGGTCCGTAGTACAGGATTCCGTTGTGTCCACACCAGATGCTAAAGAAGGAGACACCACATCCCCAAACAAGACGAAGAAGGTTTCTGGATTGAAACAGTTCGGTAATCGATCTACCAGAAGTTGCGGCAATTTCCTCTTCAATTTGCGCATGCATCTCTGCAATTTCAGTCTTGATGTCCAAGTCCTCCGATGTTGAGCCTCGGAGATAACACAAGGCGTGTTCGGCTTCATCCCATCGATTTTGTTTGGCCAGCCATCTTGGAGATTCGATTATAAGGAATGATCCGATCATAATGATTGCAGCGAGGATAATCTGGATGCTCAATGGAATTCGCCACTGTTTGCTCGTAGCCTCTAAATGTAACGAGCATCCATATGTTGTCCAATAAGCCAATAATCCACCACTCACAAGGAACATTTCGAAGAGTCCCATAAGGAATCCTCTCAATTCTTTCGGTGCAGTCTCGGCAACAAGAACAGGAGTAAGATTACTAACCATGCCGACACCAAAGCCTGCGATAACACGACCAGCATAAATCATAGACAGAGAAGGTGGCTGAGCTGCAGTTTGAAGAATTCCACCTAGCATGAAAAAAGCGGCCGCAATAGTCATGGTTGGTTTTCGACCGATGTATTTCGTGAGAAGGGCCGGAACTATAGCTCCAAAGAATGCACCGGCATTGAGAAGAGCTACAATATTGGAGGAAATGTATGCCGAATGTGCAGGGCTTGTCGAGAGTTTGAACTCTGAAGAAAAACTGTTCAAGAGGTCAGTGACGTTCCTTCGCGTGGCGGCTGTTCGATAGTCACCTTCTTAGTGCGACTACAGAACCAGCGACTCCTGTATCGTAGCCAAACAGCATAGAAGCTGTGTTAGCCACTGCGGCAACGGAGACCGCGCCTCTGTGCTTTGACAAGAGTGCTAAAGTCGAAGACATGATTGATCTGGTAGCTGAAGAAACATGTGAGGAAAGAAAAAACCAGACATCATATATCTATTCCAGATAAGATTGTCTGTAGCATTTCTCCACTGCTGCGATACGACTTATAATCGCAATAGTTCTCAGGATAGCAAAAGGTCCGTCTCTTACCTTCTGTTCGCCCAATGGACGATGCTGAGGAAATCCGACACAATGGCGCCCCGTGGGGCAGTTGATAATTAATGGTTCTATATCAGGTAAATACCCCGCGCGAGCCCATGAACCATGCGCTGTTATTTCATTTCAGTACAACCGAGACTGCAGCTTACTATGCAGCATGTATGGCACTAATGAAATTCTGCATTTGACTTATGTGGTTTCGAATGTTATCATTCGTTTTTGCCGTTTTTGCGAGTGGGTCTCTCGCCATTCTTACCTATATACTGGAGCAGGAGCTACGCATTAGGCTGTCGACTCGGTAAGCTCGCATATAAATTTGACGGCAAATTGATTCCAAATTGAGTCAATGATGTGAGTGGAGAGATAATTTCCTTATCAGCAGCATTTCTAGATATTGCTCGTTTGTGGCAAACTATAAATCTTCATTTTCCCGTCAAGCAATTCCTTGGTAAAGTAAATGTTATCACTTTCGTGGAGAAGTTCTTATCACTCATCATCGAGATTGGGTAATTACAAACAGATCCAGTTGAACGGAAGAATATCTGCAGGAACCTCAAACTCAACCGCTGCCGAGTACATGTTTGGAGCCAAGCGAGATACTTGATTGACAAGCTACATGCGAAGAGGGCAATGAGACATTTTCCCGTTCGGAGATAGCTCTCTTCCTTCAAGCATGGTCCATTTGTAGTTTGCTACGATTATAAAATTGTTCCGCGGGTACATCAACATTATCCGTGAGTCTAGACTCAAGAAATATCTTGGACCTCTGGACCTGACTTTAGGACAGTAAATGTGCTTTATTTCACACAATCGCATTCTGATATTTATGGGAATTAAGTCTACAAGGTTTACTGAAATGAACTTGGACTACCCTCGAAAGTAGTAGTCTTTTTTTGAGTTTGCTAAAACGAATGCGCAGGAATCAGCCACAAAATCAAATTTGAGTGTCTACCTACGCAAACTAGGTACTGTTTACTGATTTAGCACTCGTCAGCTCGTCCAATATTACCCCCATACAATTAGATTTTATCACGTCGCCGAATTAACGACAAACCTTATGGACAGACTGTAGTTCGGCATGTGCTTGATAAAAGCGGGTCAGCCCTAGCGAATCATTTTAGTTGTCAATTGTGAAGGGGGCCGGAACGATCCCGTGAACTAAGAGTTGGCTTCCGCGCCCGTTTTTTTATTTCTTATTACAACTTCATCGAACGGTACTTGAATAAAGTGTTATTCATTCCTTCGTTCATCCTTCGAAAATTTCGAGGTTTAATGTACGAGAGAGGAATAAAAATCCTGGGAAAATCTTTGAAATGTCACCACGACAAGGAATTATGATCAGGAATATCACCTCGGCAGGTGTGCTCGAGGTATCCCGCCAGTTTTGAACAGGGTTGAAATACGGACGATATGCCTTGAGCTATGAATCGTTGATGTTTGGCTGGGGGAACTCAAAATCTGATCCGAATTGTGGGGATTTTGGATCAAAACCCTGTTCTCGACGGGGGTTTGGGGGAATGCCGGTGCAAAAACACGGAGCCTTTACCAATTCAGATATTCTTGCGTGAAATATGCAACGCTTGGTAATTTGCTATTGATCATTTACACTGGGTAATCATTTTGAGTTTCCAGGGGTCCAAGGTCCAAGAGGGTTCTCAAATTTTCACCAGACATGATTGCTCAGCAAAGGGATGTGCACAAGGCCAGACCATGTCATTAACAGTCGATCTTCTTGAACATCCGTGTCTCCGGGACCCCTTCCCCATGATAATGTGTGGCGTGTGTTTCTAATTCAGAGATGCCTCATTTTCGAGTACGACAATTGAAGCAATACTTGTGTAATGTGCTAATGACATAGATGATGTTAGCAACAAACAAACTTCAAAAGAATAGTAGGATAGAGTTATGACTCGAGTCCCAAATGGCAGGAGCCGAAAGTGATGGCTGCGTTGATCAAAGTTACATTGCAGGAATCTCCCAGCTTATGTTGTATCGCAGGCATCTGGTAACAACCGTGGCACTGTACCTGTCGCGGCCCCTGTAGACGACAAGGGGAAAATAAAATATCCAACACGAAGAGGTCGATGATCGAAACGACATAACAAGGAGTTTCTTCGGAAGCTTGGCGATAGTGATAAGTCCATAATGATTGAGGATCGATCCAAAGAGGTCAAGGTATATACATATATCAGATCCATTGTTCAGATGCAATACGATCGTTGATAAATTTGGAGATTTTGTGGAATATCTTCTAGAAAGTGTATCATCATGCCCACTTTGTGGGTCTACAACTCGACACCAGAGGTTAATTCTCAATCCAATTATCCTTCGATCTTAGGAGCTTCGTTTCCATTGCTTGTGTTGATGCTCATCACTGTCGGCACGAGATTGTATGTCAGAGTTCGTACTGTGCGAGGTATTGGTGCCGATGACTGGGCCGTCTTCATTGCTGCGGTAGGTCTTTCTTCGGATATCTCTGCAATTTATGCTAATTCTTTGTGGATAGATATGTAGTATCATTTACAACGCTTGTACTATTGCTCGTAAGAAGCATCTCAGATAAATTGGTACTATCTAATGATGAAATAGAATCAAGATGGGGATTAGGTCTGCCGTTGGCTCTTAGACCAATAGTCAACTTGAACACATATTCTAGCGTCAGTAATAATCTACGGATGCACGAGAGATTAGCCACTGATAAATGAATAGATTAATTATGCCGGTCGACCTTTCTATATGATGGGCATCTTAGCCTTCAAAGTCTCACTTTGCTTCTCTTATCTTCGCATTCTCTCCAAGGGACAACCAACCTACCGTCTTATAGTGTGGATCGTGATGGCTCTCTGCATTATAGGCCATACAGTCGGGACTCTGGTTCTAATGTTTAACTGCAACCCGGTATATAGAAATCCTCTTTCCCCTTTCCCAATGCATTCTTCCCCCTCCAAAAAATATGCTAATCTGTGAGTCCATCAGATCAAAAAATCATGGAATCCAAAAACTGCAGGAACATGTCTTCCCGTTGGTCCCCTATTTACCGGTCTCGCTATTACGACTATCGTTTTTGATGTCATTATCTTCTTTCTTCCTATCCCATTTCTCTACGGTTTACGAATGGATAAATCCAAAAAATTCGGCATCATTGGCGTTTTCGCCCTCGGTATTCTCACAACGGTGTGTTCTGTTATGCGGATGGCTGAAATTCCCGTTATTGCGACGGGTAGTGGTAATTCCACAATGTTGGTCGTGTGGGGGAACATAGAATTGAATGTCGGAGTATGCCCTCTGCCACCTCTCCTTCTCTTTCCCCTTCAAACAAGAAACATAAAAATGAAAAGAAAAAGTGTATAAAACACAAAACTAACACGAAACAAGATCATCCTAACCTCCATGCCCGTTCTCGCTCCCCTCTTCAAAGTATTTGGCAAAAAACTCGTTTCAACCGGAAAATCCTCCTCAAACCCCTACGCCCACACCGGCTCCCACAATATGCAAATTTTCAGTAACTCGAAAAGTCAGCACCACACCACCACTTCCAATATCAATACTCTCACGAACTCGCGAAAAGAAAGAGCAGCAAGAGCCGCGGCCCGATATCCGGGCGATGTGAGTGATAATGAGAGTCAGGAGACGATTTTAGGAAAAAGTGGAGAGGAGGGGATGATTGCCAGGGAGAGGAGCGTGGATGAGAGGAGTGGGATGGAGAGTTCGGAGAGGGAGAGAGATTTGGAGAGTGCGACGGGAGGCGTACACGGGCAGGGAAAGGAAATAGAAGGAATTATGAGGACGGTGCAGGTGGATATTTCGAGTGAGGCGGCGGATGCGCAAGCGGGGGAGTTTGGGGGACCGAGGAATAGGTGATTGGTCGATTGATTGATTATCGAACCCCACCCCCTTCCTGGCTGTGAAACATTCGTCGCGTTTATGGATAATGTCATACATTCCATTCCTCTCATACTCATATTCGAGAAATGATGCGTTTAGATTCATCTTCTGGCTTCTAAAGCGATATAGCAGGATCTAAACTCATTGATCCATCCACCTATTCAATCAACCCTACTTTCCCACGAAGAAAGAAAGAAATATGACACACAATCACCAATGTTTCCAGATCTCGTTACAAATCCAATTCCATATCCCAGTTCAAATATAATAACGAAAATTACACTCGTTTGATTTCTTTTGTTATTTCTTTTATATAGATGGAGAAGGATTAGTTTGGCGTACAACACCATTTCCAGATAGATAGATGGATGGATAGATAGATAGATAGAGATAGTTATAATGATTTATCGTGCCTCGATGGCGAATTTTGTGTTTTCTTTAATGGGGTTTTGAATGGACTTGAAAATGTGAATGTGGATGTGAATTTACTGTTTTCGGGGGAAGGGGTGTTGTATTTGTTGATTGTTGAGAAGGCTTGGGATGGTGGGCAAAAATAGCGGATGCTATTATAATGTATGAGTTGGGGTTAAATTTTAAATTTTTTTGGTAAATTCGGAGGGTAAATGGAGGATTTAAAAGGTGATATCTTTGGATATTATGCTTTAAGAATATTAGAGATCACTGAATCTAATCCGCTACTCTCTATCCCTCTGCGCAAGTTTCCATTCTCATCCCATCCCATCATGTAAGTCTCCCTTCATCCGTTCATCTACTCATCCTCTCTCAATACTATCAATCTCGTCTCTTTTCCATCCGATCATCTGAAACTTCCTTCCCATCCCATCTCACCGGTTAGTTTTCCCATTGAAAAACTTCCACTGTATCAATCACAGTCCAACTCATCACAACCCCATTCCATGTACCCCCAAAGTCAATTTATACTGCTTCGCCTTTTCCATGGCTCTTTTCAACGATTCCTGATCTTTTTGCAACCGAGCTCGTTCCGCTAATTGAGGTGCCGTTTCGCCTGCGATCTTTCGTAGAGCTTCTTCGTTCTATTTATTTTTTGTTAATTAGGTTCTCGCTTATCATCTTCTGACAAGTTACAACTCTTAACGTCGAATTTCGACACGAAGAAAGAAAAGCAGAAGTTAAGAAAGGAAAGAGAAAGAAACCAAAATCCACCCCCTGAAACTTCTTCGTAATCATATCTGGGCCCAAAGTCCTCAACGGACTCTTCCTCCCCAAAAGATGTCTCTCACAAACCTGATGACAAACATTATCCACAAATCTCACCATACCAATCTGATAATAACTCGCCAACTTATCATGCGTTGTGAATATCGCATCAATCTTCGCATTATGCCCAAACCAACTCTTCACCTGCGTTTTCACAATATCCTTATCTCGTCTCTGAATCTCGTCCAGTCTCGCAGTCATGAGTTTGAATCTGCCTTCGCGCAAATCAGAAAGTTGATACACGTTCCATTTGTTGAGAGTGACAATGAGTCCGGATTTCTCATCGTTGAGTAGTTTATCTAATTCGTGCATGGCGTCATCGTGAACGGCGGTTTTGTCTTCTTCGAGGAGATTTTGGACATTGATTAGAAGAGATTCTTCTTCGCAAATCGCGTGCAAGAGACATCCTACTGATATCCAGATTGCGTTGACTAGTGATTCAATCAGAGCTTTGGTTTGATCTCTCCATACTGGTGTTAGTTCCGACCAAAGACTACGTATGACCGCGCCGTTTACTTCGTCGGCCATTTCTTTGCCGCGATTGGCTTCGATACATCGGCTAATCTCGTTAAAATACTTGTTTCTCAGCACGGCGCGTTCCCATGTTTTCTCGTCAACCGAGTCAAGAGAGAATCCGAGAATTTTACTATTGAAGCGCTGATCGTAAACCGCGGTCATACCATCCCTAAACTCGTCTAGGGTATCACGAACGATTTTCCGAATCTTCACTTCAGGGCAGTTGACGGGTAAACGATCATTATGGCCATCGATAGCATCTCCGGCGTGCAGAGAATACTTCGTCGCGAGGTTGACCAAGCAGTTCAGCTGGCTCTCGGGTGTGATTCGCGGTAGTCCTAGTGCTTCGATCCTCCTTTCGACTCCTTTGAGACGTTCTGCGATCTCCGGAATCAGTTCGGGGATACTGCGTGTCACATGTTCGTTGTGCATTTGTGTCAACGCAACTTTGAGATTTTTGATGCCTAGTTTCCCTTGTCGCTCCAGATCTGTCCAGACTTTTTGACTGAATAATTTTTCCTCCTTCTGATCGCGTATCGTTTGGATTTCTTTGCTGGGGCTGGATTTTCTTTCGGATGGAGAGAGGTTGCGCAGTGCAAACCAGCCGTATTTGAGACACCTGTCGAATTCTGGATCGCTCTCATCGTTCTTGATTGCTCTGAATACCTGCAAGACACTTTGTATCAGTATTTTTCTATCATGGACATTACTATAGAGGTAAATACGTACCCAATCATCGCCCTCTGGTTCTATCTTATCACATTTTGTGATGACTCCAATCACTCGATTTTTCCAATTAGCAATACCTTTGATAATCTGGAACATATCTTGAGTTTCGACATTTGCAGGATGGGCGACAGCTCTGTGAGTGATTAGCAAAAGATTCTAGAGTTTTTTCGACGTTGCTTACAGAACAATACTACGATGATTCAATATGTAGTGATCCACCAATGCTTTGGCCATTTTATGAGCTGGATGAGTTGCTAATGGGCGTTAGAAAGATGATCCAAATCAACTATATTGTTAGGACTTACATGAAACCAATCCGGGAATATCAACAATTGTGATATTGATCTCTCCTGGACCCTTTTTGACAATCTTCAATGTAGCATCACTCAGAAAATTCTTCTTATTCTGGGCAACATTCACCTTTTTTGCCGACTTTCCAGGCTCGACAGAATCTCCCATGATCACTCTCTTCGCCTAACATTCTATTAGTACTCCTACTTTAACGCAAATTTTACAAAAAGATTCAGATCAGAGATGACGCTTTACCTCTGTTATAATATCACAGAAATCGTCCATGTGCGCAACCTTACCTCCCCATCTACCATTGAACTCATCAATACGTGTAGATTGTTTCTCAACCCACTTTTTCTGTACAGTAGTTTGATTTGGCGCATCCAATGCACGAACTGCTTTCGTGATACTGACTTCTAGAGCATCTTCCGATGCTCGTTGTAGGGAAACTTCGGTCGGGAAACGTGTACAGAGGCCGTCATCGACGGGGAAGGAAAGTCGTGTGATAGCTTGGAGAACAGAGCTTTTTCCGGAGCTTTGGTCGCCGATTACAACAAGCTGTATTTCATTCGTTAATATGTAACAAGTTCTGCGCTCGGGAAATGCGATTTTGGAATGTGAAACGGCATGCATACCTGGGGAAGATTGAGAAGCTCATTGATAGCGAACAATTTCTTCAATTCATCAATGAAACCGAGTTTTATCATGGTATCTTCATTTCCTAAATGCTCAGGAACGATTGCCATGGAGAGATTCTCATCGGGCTCAAAATCCATTGCGTCGTCAGAAGAAACGGAAGAACACATCTTTCCTGTATCTTAGATAGAGTATGAGATTTTGAGTAGAGATGGTAAGTTCAAAAAATAACAAGTGTAGTTCAAATCCACGGAGCAAATTTGCAAATTTCGGATGGAATCCTCAAGCTACGAGGTGGAGATATATAAATAGCCATGATCCGATCACCTCCATCTCAATGAGTCCATATAAAGATGAAGTGCTCCAAAGCTTCTTAGATTTCGTCCATTCTTTGCATTGATGATCCATACTTGCACCATAGATTGAGAATCTTCTGGTGTTAGTAAGCATGGAAATGACACCGAAATCAACGAACTTCATTTCATGGCAAGCTTTGGAACAGAATTTGATTCATGAAAATAAATCAGACAATGAACATTCGAATACAAGATCAAGCCAGAAAATTTTCTAAAAGCACGAAAGGGTCAATAAAGAATGTTGAAATCGTCGTACTACGGAAATCCTCACTTGCTACGAATGAAAGCTAGAACTATAAACAATAGATTTAAGTCAATGCTCTAAATGAAGATGTAGTTTTTTTCCTGGTTTGCAAATACTTACATCCCATAATAGCATATCATATCTACCACATTCGAAGATACATCTCGAATATTAAGGATCTCTACATTTCCATTACACTCTAAGAAAATTGGAGAAATCCTCTCATCGCGTAGAATTCTAATTTCCTCATCTCATCAAGAAAGAAAGAATGAAAGAAAGAAAAACACTTCGCATCCAGTCCTTCCAACTTCAACTCAGCAGAAAGATACCAACAGACACGAATTCCATCTGAGTAAATCAGAAGAGAAATGAAGTCCACCATATTCTAAAAACTATAGTAAGCATATACATAAGAACATAGAAATACTCTACCTAGGTATCCTTTTCAGAAACAGCCAAAGAAAAACGAGAGTTAAGGAAAGAATTTCTTTTCGTGATCACTCTTAGTAAAGAGAAATAAGAAGAAGAAAAAAACAACCAGAGAAAATAACAGATATAGCGGAAAAAACGAGAAACAAAAGAGAAGTTTAAATTTGCGCAGGGCATTTATTTTCTCCATAAGCGGCTCTGAATCAAGGAAGTCCCATAAAGCGCTTTTTTAATATTTTAAACCTCTGCGTCACACTTGGGAGTTTAGGGATTTTTATCTCGAAGATGGTTACCAGTTAGAAAAATTTGAAATGAACCAAGGAAATGAATTAATCAGCTATTTCATCGCTTGTATGGAATGTATTCTATCTGCACATATTGAGATTGAGTAGGTATCCAAGTAGGTATCTATAGCATTGGAAGAAATTGGGAAGTGTAGTTAAAGATTAACCACTTTCCTACAAAATGCATTCGTTACAAGCGCATGTGGATTTTTTTTACATACCTACTTAATGATTATATTTATCAAGATGCAGCATCGCCTTCTGCAGAAAGAAGTATAGCTCCTTTGCACACCTCGAATTACAAACTCACACAAGTGCATCCACTCTACCCATTTCATATACCTCCAAAACTCACTCCTCAAGATCCTCAAAAAACAAATTCAAATTCAAATTCAACTACCTCTCCTATCCCCTTCCAACCACCCTCAATCCCACTCTAATCATGCCTCCCCTTAATAACATTCCCCGCCTTCTCCGCCGCCGCAAAATACCGTCAACTGTAAATGCGTCGCTGGAACAAGCGGCATGACACTCGCATCCACGACATTCACCTTCCGTAGCCCATGCACCAACAAATCCATTCCCACACAGCCCCCCCATCCTCTCTTCCCCAACGCACACATCCCAGACGAATGCGCAAAACTCGGCGCGATGGCGCCTACGCTAATCAAGCGATGCGAGAATCTCTTCATCTATGTGAGCAGCGAGACCGGGGAAATTTTCCGTGGGGAGAGTAGGAGAGATGGGGAGAGGAACAGTAAGAGCGGATGTAGCGGGTGCAGGAGGTGAGAATGAGGGAGTAGGTGGGGGAGGAGAAGGCGTAGTAGTTTGTGATTGATTGGGCATGAGGGGAAAGAGGGGGAGAGTGTGATGGTTCTCGGGAGAGAGGGGTTTTTCGACGGCGCCTGCGCCTGCGCCTGGGTGGGGTTAGTAGGTGGTGAGGTTTGTGTTTAGTGAGATTTGTGAGATTTCTAAAATTACTAGGAGAGAAGAAGTTAGGGTACATACCGGGTCCTGTGGTACCAATGGGAATTTCAATCACTGCTGCGTCGGTTCGGGAGAAATGATCGAGGATGTTATCGCGTTGGGCTAGATACCCTTTGAGAAGCGCCGAGCTGTTGAGGTAGTTTGACACATTTTGAGCGCGAGCTTGGTCGATGATTTCCTGGCTTGGGGATATGAGTTGAGAGAGAGAGAGAGAGAGAGAGAGAGAGAGAGAGAGAGGAATAAATGCTGCATCGGGAAAAGTGCCTTGAGTATATGGTCCCTGAAGTGCATTCAGTACGACGTGATAATACATCAAACCGTCAGCAAATAAAGAATATAAATACCAACCGTATGATTCGTGATATATTCCTACCACGCACTCGCATTATATGAAGCATTCATCGCAATCGTCGCATCATTTGGAAACGCCAGATTCGTAACATTCCAGCTGAGATACGTAACCAGATGATCCTGAAAATTTGCCCCTACAGCCGGTTCGTCGAGAAGCACTTGCACTCCCGCAGCTTCGAGTACGTTTCTGGGAACTATTCAACTGAGCTGTAGAAGCTTAGGTGTGTCGATCGCACCGGCTGCGAGGATGACTTCTTTCTTTGCTGATACTATCTGTGTTTAATTTGTCTGGACAGATGTAAATTTCACACCAGTAGCAGTGAGACTGTCATCGAAAAGAATCTTTTCGACTAAATGACCTGGGATAAGGTGGAGATTGGATTGACTAGCAATAGGATCATAATAAACGACACGCGAATGCGAACGAAACCCGGTCTTCGGATCAAGAGTCTGAGGAACCCAATAGAAACCAATCGCATCACCAGATTCCGGTGCATCCGATATCTCGATTCCAAAATCTTCCGCGGCTAGAGTTTGGTTTCTGTCATCGGGGAAGATGAAAGAGGGATAACCGATTTGAATAGTTCCATTCCCATACCCAGAAGCGTTATTCCTGATATCGAAATGTGTTTTAAGCTCTTCCAATGGAGGGGTAAAAGTCGTACTTTTGATGAAGTAGGGATATAGACCTTCCCAACTCCAGGTATCATCTCCGATGAGAGTTCCCCATGCATCGTAGTCTGCTTTGGATCCTCGATCGATAAACATACAATTGTGTAAGGAATTACCTGCTACTACATCAGCGATGTAGATGTTGAACGTTGCTTTTGACAGTGTTTCAACGGGCGCGAAAATATAATCCCAATTCTTTACATCGTTAGGGAAATATTGGAGATCGAGTCTTGGGATTAAGGCGAGAGAGCTGTTCTCTATAACACCATGCTCAATCACCTAGATGATTTCTGTATACAGATTAGCATTGTATACTGGAGTTATACTTGTCGAAAAATCACTAACTAGTCGGATCTTCAGATAATCGATTTGCAACAACTAAGCCACTCGTTCTACCACAGACAATGATATAATCATAGCTCTCCACAAACACAGAATCATCACGCGAATATGACGAAGCGGAAGAAGCTACAAGATTGCAACTGGCGAGTAACAAAAGCTAAACTGAAGTTTGAAGAATTGCAGGTATCATAGTTGAGAATATAGCAGAGGTGGCCACTCCCACAATATGTATAAATTCAAGATAAACTCAAGAAAATCACAATGATTACCATCATTACGAACGAGGATTCATCATAAAGTTCTAACTTGTCGCGACTATGAAAGTGAATACAATAGTAGGTACGTAATATATGTATATCTGCAGTAAGAAAACCTTCCATCTCCATCACTGTCCTTTTTCTCCAATCGTCTCCAACTGAAAAGGATATCAAAATCCCAAAATGCAAAAGTTACAAAAGTGCTCGATATCACAACCCGGCAAAACATGTATAAAATGTAGAAGAGCTTGGCAATTTTGCCTGACCACTTATATCTCCATCATTGCGATTCTTCTCCGTTACGATGACGTGCTCCATAATACAACTCTATATTTGGCGGAGTATTATCTGATATATGTTACAGAATGGTATGCTGACTTTGAGTAACGAATGATGTATATGTATACATATATGTGTATCAGTAGGTAAGCAGTGAGAAAGAATCTCTTTGCACAATCACACCACAATGATAACATGATGAAGTTTCTTAATCATTACCCACCATTCGAGGTCTAGAATCTCGAAACTATTCAAAAGATTTTACATCTTATCGTTACGATGATAAATCATCGTATTTCCCTGAGACGACGGCAATTATATAAATACAGATACATCCAATCATAAGATATCTCTCCAATAAAAAACCACTCCCCAACCAGTAAGACAGACCACCAAAACTCGATTCCCACTCCCTCCACCTCTCAGCCTTACAACACTTTCCACCTCATTCTCCCAAAAAGAAGAAGTACAGGTAGATGGATATCCATTCCCAACTCCAATCACTCGATTGATGCACTCTCCACTCAACCCCCCTCTCACACCTCCTCGCGCTCATCCCACACCCAACACCCTCAAATCCTCGCTTCAAGATTCCCCAAACCCAAGCGGAAACTTCCACTCTGGCTACCTAGGTAACTCGAAAAATCCACACCGCAATCCTTACTCACTCACATACCTCTCCAGAGTCCAAAGTATCAAAACCACAAGCACAAGCACAAGCACAAAGAAAAAAAACAATAAGTGGTAACTAAATACCAAACTCAGTACCTCAATAAGCAAAACAAACAAGCACCCAACCTACCACCCAGCCACTAAAACCAAACCAAATAAAACAAAACAAAACCTTAGAGACAATCGATGCGCTGTCCCGCCACGTGCGCATTGATGTGCGTGGGGGTACAGTACAGTAACCTCACAGTAGAATCCACAAACTCAGAATCCCACTCCATACTCAGTAGGCTCGTGGACGGGCAGAATTAACTAGGTTACATGTGGAGAAGAATATTTTCCCACGAGAAAATAAAATGTAAAATGCAAAATGCAGAATGCAAAATGCAGAATAAAGCATGAACGTACGGGGTTGTGAGACAGAACGGAGCGAAATGTACTGCGTGGGTATTTTACTGAGTGTTTTGTTTGGTTGATTGGAATGAGTGAATGAGTGGATGAGTGGATGAGTGTGTATGTATGTATGTATGTATTATGGACTACTCGTATACAAAGTAGAAATTGGAGGATGGGTGTGTGTGTGTTCTGGAGATATTTATGGGGGTTTAAGAAATAGGATGATTGGGGGGGAGGGGGATTGGTGATTGTTCTATCCTATTCTATTCTACCTTTTCTCATGCGATTTTGATATGTTTGTGGATGGGAGGGGATGGAGAATTGTAAGTGTGTAGGTAGATAGTATGTGTGTATGTAGATAGCGAGGTAGATAGATGTGAGTAGCATCGATATAAGCATCAGTCAGCATCAGCATCAGCCGCGGGACCGGGGTTTATGGGTTTCATGTAATTACTATAGATAGGTAGGGGAGATGTAAATATAATTTTCAACTTATAATTTAATATTTGTTGGAAAAGAAAAGATATCTTTATTATTTATAGAAGTATCTTTAGTTTTTTTCTTCTCAGCTTTAGTAATTAGCTAATTAGTCAATTAGTTAGTATCACGCTAAAAGTGATATCACCAAGAGCATTAAGCTAATTGGGTTTATATAGGCATATTCTCTCGTAACACACCCCCGAGATTGCTAACTAGCTAATTGTAGGCAGTAATCTCCGTACTAGCCTCATTGAGTCATACACAGATCTCCTTCTATTTCCATATAATACCAAATCTAGATTCTCTTCTGATTGAATACAACTAGTATTAGGTTCTCCCTGAATACATCTAATAGGCTGAGCGGAAAATAGTAAAGCAACAAAGCAGAGTCCTCACATTAACTTTAATAGGCCAAGATCAGATAACTAATGTGATTCTGTTGAAATACCCTCTTATAAATGGGCCCACAAAAAACCACTACAAAAGAGTACAGTAAAGTGAAGAATTATGCCACTGCGCTATAAACGCATACCGGGCTCATAACTATCACGCTAAAAGTCATATCACCAAGAGCATTAAGCTAATTGGGTTTATATAGGCATATTCTCTCGTGACAGTTAGTCAGTTAGTTAGTCAATTAGTTAATATTCAAAAAGGATTGAATTTATTTACTCGAGTATTATATAATAAAATTATCATATCTATATATCATTATCATTATACTATATTATTATTATATTTATATTTATTATCTTCTTCTTATCTGATTTTTAATTTAATACGAGAATCGAGATTAATTATAGAAAGAGATCTATCTATAATAACTATAAAGAATATCATAATTCTGATTTTTGAATAGATAGATAAATATTCTACATATTCTAACTTCTCATATTCTCAGACTCTTATATCATTTCCCTCGAGTAATTAGCTATCTGTCTATTAGCTTATCTATCTATCTAATAAATAAATTATAAAATCTTCTTTTAATATATACTAGATATTTATCTAGATATCTATTCATCTAAAATATCTTGTGAAAATCAATATATATATACTGAAACAGTACAACAAATAGAAATATATCGAAATATTAAATAGTTATAATATAATAAATGAATGAAACTAATATATTAGAATTTCAAGATAGAAGGGAGGGAGGAGAGTAAGGGGAATACTAATTTAAGATTTAAGATCTTTGAGATGTAATTGATTAATTGATTAATTAATATATTGATATATATGAATATTATGATTTATAAGACGCTGATTGGTTTGAGATTTATTATGGTTTATGGCTTGTATATCTATCTCCTAGAAAGGGAATGAGTAAATGTTGGATTGTTTAATTATTTGATTACTGGATTGTTTTAGTTGATGGGGAGATGAGGATGGAGAGATAGATTAGTGAGATAGAGGTGAGATAGATACAGATGAAATAGAGATAAAGAATCGAAATCCCAATTGACCGAACCTGAGTACATACATGATATCCATATACATGATATCTACCTACCTACTTACCTAGCTCTCCACATTATATACACCAATCTCCAATCCAGCTACAACTACAACAGATAGATACACAATCAGAGTACCCATCTAGCTAATAAAATAATTCCCCCCAATCCATCCCATCCCACCCAATGAAAACAATCCTCAAAAGATAGAAAAAAAACTACCTAGCTATATCTCATTCTCAATCAGAAAACAAACCCCCCAAAACAAAACTCACTTATCCAGCTTACCTAAACCAGCATCTCGATTTCCATCTCGATTTCCATCCCCTCATCCATCCCCTTATCCATCCCCTTATCCATCCATCCATCCCCAAAACAAGCTCTAAAGACCCAAGACAAAATACAAGCCTTTCACATCCGTTTCATAACCTGTTTTCTCCATCTTCATCATCGACATAAGCATCAACATAAGCATCTAGACCTTCCAGACTAATTCCTTTGCATAAAATGGATAAGATGGATAAGATGTAGAGTATGCAGAGTATGCATAAAAAGTGGATGAGGATATGCTACCTAGGTATATTACCTATCGACCTAGGTATGAATTAACCAATCAAAAATAAGAAGAAAAAATTGATGTACGGAGGAAAAAATGTTGTAGAAATTGGTGAATCAAGATTTTTGGTTGTAAAGTATCTAGGTATATGAATAGGTAGGTAGGTCCTTTGTTATTTTTATTGTTATTATACTAGGTAGTAGGAATGCTGAGGTATGCTGATATGGTTTGGTTTGGTTGGTGTATCAGGTGATCTTTTTAATTACTAGGTAGTACGATAGATAGTAGGTAGGAATTTGAGGGGAATGCAGGTGGTTTTGTTGATTAGAGTGACCTCGGGAGTGAGGGGGAATTTTCAGTCTTTTTATTATGAATGGATAGATAAATGAATGTTTCAAATCACGATTTACAATTCGGATTAAGATATCTACCTAGTATCTATTGATTGACTGTATGTACGAAATGTACGTTGCAAAATTCAGATGATGTGATGTGATGTGATATGTGATGGGATGTTTTTCTAGGAGGTTTGTCTCCGGATCCCGGGGTAGGTGGATAGATACGGTAGGTACTAGGGAGGGAACATGTGAGAGGAGCCGCTTTCATCATTTTTATGGAGGATGGATGGATGGATGGATGGATGGATGGATGGATGGA